TCACACAGCTGTCAATGGTGCTAATTTTGATGCCATTTTGCTTGTGGCATTTATGTGTTGGAGAAATATAGAAGTCATAGGATTATGCAATGGAACCAACCAAGAGACTCAATTAAAACAGCTTAAATAGTTTTGGGGGATGCCAGTATTCAGGAATTTACTTGGTTGGATGTGTAAGAAGCTGGGCCAAATTTAGTGCAGTAGCACTTATTAGTTCCTGGTCTATTTTGCTTTAAAAGCCTTGTGGTTTTTCTGTACTATTTCTTTCTTTAACCCTCAGCAGCAGGTATAGCTTCCTTAATTTATTTCACATTATTAGGACACCTATGAATCTTGTTATATAAAAATATGCTTTTCCTGTTTTTAAAGATGGAGTTTTCCCATAGAAGCAGTTCAGAAAGCCAGTTTTTGAGTTAAAAAAAAGATATTAAATGTGCAATTATTATCTCTAAAACTTGTGTTCACATATAAACATACTTGAATTCAGTTTTTCTTAAGAGTGAAAAAGGAAGTAGCATGTTGTCTAATCTTACCAGAAACAGAACCTTACCGTTGTTTTCTTTAGAAGTTAAATGGAAAGGGCATTCATGAGGCTTATTCTGGAATCCAATGACATGTTTTTCAGGATTCATTTTTGGATGCTGCAGTACATGTTGCTGCTCTATTGATTCACTTCTATTTTATAGTGATTTTTAGATTAAAGAGGATTTAATTTTGACTGTGATAAGGAATTAATGATTTTTGCTGACTGAAAACCATATTTTATTGAACTTTGTGGTGACAAAGCAGAATTGCAAGCACTGCAAACTTAAGTGGTTGTTAGCATGAGAAGTAATTGGAAATAACAGCTCTCTACATGAAAACAATTATCCAAGGCTGAACAGGCTTCTTTCTCGAATCCATAACACAATTAACCTCAAAGTTATCTAGTAAAATAAAAGCTCCTCTCCTTCCATAGGAGAAGCTGGTTGGGGTCATGCTATTTTAATAAGAGTACAAAAAGAATGCAGTCCAATTTCAGCTCTGTGTGGCACAGGTCTGAAATTTATGCATGATGTCAGTAGAGATTGCACATTTATACAGTGAATTCTTAGTGGCATAAGAGCGTGATGCCTTGTTAGTTGATGCAATGCAGGAACATATATAAGAAAAGCTACTTTAGTCTGGCTGAAAAAAGAATCTGTAAAATAGTATGGGAAAACAAGAAACTAAAGAAACTTTTTAAGGGGCAGCAAGATTTAGGACAAGGCAGAAAATAGCTTACTAAGTTTGCCAGGCATAACAAATGATTGCTGAGTATGCTTATGAAATATAGTCCACTCAGACTGCTCTATAAAGGGATCAATAGGCCAAGAACCTACACCTGTGAAACACTGAACTAGCCATAGCATATCTGTAAATGCTATACGTAGCTATTTTGTGCACATATATACATGCTATGTATGCATAGCTTGTACATAGCTATTTTTATACCCATAACCTGCAGCTTTAATGTAAAAACAGGTGTATCTGTTTTGGCAACAGCCTGAATTGTACATATTAAAGTATCATAGAAGAAAGTTTACTTCATATCCAGCTCTGTCAGATACTCGTCATGCTTCTGATTTCTCTAACTGGGAAGAATTTGCAGGTCTCGAAGTCCCCTCTGTGTTCCAAAACCTGTCAAAGATACCTGACTATCCCAGGATCCAGTGTTCTGTGTCCAGTGTTATGCCTCTAACATGAGAAGGGAAATAACCTGGCCGTTGTCATCAGGAGTTGCTAACTATGAAATGGAGAGTTTCTATGACAAGATTAATGCACATGACAGCAAAGCAGTATCCTTTTAAACATTACTGCTTAGAATATTAGAGGAAGGACATTTGTCAGTGCTATGACATGTTAGGCTCTGAAATGGTCTACTGTATGTTAAGGAGAAATAAAATTGTAGCAACTGATAAAAACAGAAGGATGACTGAAATATCTAAACAGACAAAAACATCACAAGATAAATACTAGTTGATTTGTATGTGTTCCACTAGTATGAGTTGTGACCAAAATAATGTTTTTTTGTAGACTCTGTTTATATGTATTTAAAAGGTATTACCTTAGTGAATGTCAGTGTCATAGCTGTTAAGTCTGTAACTTCTTGCATTAACCATGTGCAAGATCTTTTATCTGGGGAGTTAGGTGAGTTGGAGCTGATTCTTTAATAAATAAAAATGTGTAAAAGATTTGTAAAATTTAATTGAGAGTAAATAGATAATTGTGGGACTGAGAAATGGAACAATTCTAAGTACCTTAGATTCATAAAGATTCCAAAATAATGTCCTCAGCCTATTCTTGGATTACCAAAAAAAGGTACACACGTAGCCAAAATGCAGAGATATCTGAGGTGTTTTCTTGGAAATCTCTTAGCATGGAGTAAGGTGGTGTCTCCAAGGGACTCCTGTTGTGAGGAAAAAAACCTCATCACAGGCAACATTGCTCCTTTCATGGTTTTGGGCTTTTTGCGTTTTTATGGAGGGTTTTGTTTGTTTGGTTGGTTGGTTTTGTTTGGGGTTTTTTTGTTTGCTTGTTTGAGGGTTTTTAAATTTTTTTTTAGAACAGTCTTTCACATATATGCAATAAATTCTGCTTTTTATTCCAACTGGCTGAATCCTTCTAGGTTCATTACCCATTACAGAATTTAAAGGCTATGCTGTTTTCATTCATCAAGGATGATGTAAAAGATGCTCATGGACAGTGTTTTGTATCTTCTGTATTGTTCCTGGGACACGTGTCAGATGTCAGTCTGAGATGTTTTCTTTTTTCCCCCCCATCCTGGTTGTCTGGTATAGTATCTAGCTTTTTTACACCAAGTGATCACTTCCATAAGGATTTTCTCAGGTTCTCAGTAACTGTCTCAAGACTATGCCACTCTTATGTACAAGTAGTCTATGCGTAATATTATCACAGACTTGTGCTATTTAAACAAAAAAAAAAGCAAGCAAATTAACAGAAAAAAGCCCCACCAAAAAGTGAACTCATGTGGCCTGAAGAACCACATGGAATAGCATGCGTTCTTCTTCTGGGTAGGTACAAAATTTGCTTTCATACCCAAGAAGAAATTCAGTATACCAACAATAATAAAAGACAGTTAAAACCTGTAGTTATAAATGCAAATGCCAAACAGAAGTTCATCTACAGGCTTCTTTCCTGAACCCTCATTCCCCTATGACTTCTGCAAATTAAATTAAATGAGCTGTGTTATTTAAATGAAACAGTGAAACAACTCTGAGCATACAGAAAATAGTATAATCTAGAATCTTATTTGTCCTTGTTTATCTAACCTTTGGTTAACTGAGACTCCTGGTTAACTGAAAGTCGGTCGTGTCCCCTGACAGCTGTGTGCACTGTGCATTACTCCCCTGCTTATCCAGAGAGACATCTGAAACCTTCAGAATAATGGAGTTGTGAGTAAGTGGGTGAGCACTGCGTGAAGCACATTGCTGTCTAGGGACATGACCAACTTTCACTTAACCAGGCATGTCAGTTAACAGGAAGTTAGAAAAACACATTGCACGAGATAAAGTGGCTGTGTGTGTGTGTGTGTGTTAGCTCTCTGCTGTTAGACAGTTTGTATTGAAGTGCATAGGCAGAACACTGCAAAACAAGCTTGCTCTTTGCAATTAACCAGAGGCTGCGTGTTGCTTGTTCTATGACCATTTTTGGTTAGTTGACCTTTAATGTAGCACAAGTAAATTACAGAAGTCCTTGAAAATGCATATCTGCGGTATCAGACTGCTTTTGGTTTCTTCATTAAGTTCAATTGAATTTTAATTGCAATATTAGGTTCACAGCTGGCTCAGCTGGCTAGGTGGAGCAGCAATATCCTGCAAGCGATTTGACTATGTTACCATCCAGGCTTTGTGACTGCAGACATAGGAGCTTTCAGAGAGCAGCAGTAAGGGCAAAGACGGCCAATAACAGCCATAGAAGCCGTAGAAGCAGCATCTGTTTAAATGATTGAGTGGCATTCACAAGGCTCTTTGGCTTTGCTTTCTGTGAGGAGGATTGCAGCTGTAATACAAGGCTGTTTCTAGGAGGCAGAGGGATGCTTGCGAAGGGTTGTCAGACAGAGATGATCCTCTGTTGGAGAAGGAGCTCTAAGGTCATCTTCTGAAAACTCACCTACCCTGTAGCTACAGAATAATGTGCTGTAGTGGTGTTCTGAGAGGAGGGACCAGCTTTGTGAATAGAGGGAAGAAAGGCTGTGCTCAGTTAGCAGAGCACAATCAATGACTCTTAGGTGGTTTGAACTTCAGAGAGTTGCCTGAATCTGTTCTTAAATATTTGCAATGCAAAAGAAAATCTGTCTGTCTCCTATGATGTAGGTGACTGGGAGCTTGGGTGTTGCAGTGAGAGGTGAGGTATACAATAGCAGATGAGAGTCTGGTGCTGTTACAACTTCAGCAATGGGGAATAAAAGTCAGAGTGTTCAGAAGAATGCCTCCATCCCCCTTCCATTACTCTGGAGAGAATGGGTCCAGGATGTCAGCACAGGAAACACTGATAAGGACTGCAACTGCTTACCTGTCTACATATCTATAAGACTATTATTTTAAGAATTCATTTAAAAATGAAGGGATAGAGGAAGGGATGGAGCACGATCAGAGAAAAGATGTTGGTAAAAAGGGTGTGTTTTAATGCATTTCAATCAAGTTTAGGTTACTTTAGAGAACAAGAGAGAAGTGCTTAGTGTAGGTTCTGAGAGATTTGGAAATGCACTGAAGTTGAGAATAAGAGGTGCTTTGTCCCTGCTAAAGGGGTCTTTAATGCTGACTTGACACTGCTGTGTTATCTAAAACAGAGATACATGCAAACATCCGGTATAAAATATTTCCTTAGAAACTACTACTGCATTCTTATACTTTAAATGGGATTTTTTGTATCTAGTCATTAGTGACACTTAGTATTGCATTTAAAATTGAGTATGTTCATAAATCCTTACAATTTTTCTTGTTTTTTTTCAATTTTAGGATTAAAGAGCCCCTTCAGGACAGTGTAATAGCTACCTATGAAGAACATGAAGATAGCGTATATGCAGTTGAATGGTCCTCAGCAGACCCGTGGCTATTTGCCTCTTTAAGTTATGATGGGAGACTTGTTATTAACAGGGTTCCCAGAGCTCTTAAATATCACATACTGTTATAATTTGTACACAACTGGTAGGTATTGTTTAGGGTTTTTTTCAGGATCTATTTTATTTAGTATAGATGTTGAAATTTTCTTAAGAATGTCTGTATCAATATAGACGCTTTTAATTTGTCTTTTGTATTTGCTTTGGGAAACTATAATGCATTTTCTGAAGGCTGTGCTGCCAAGGTAATTTTTTTTTTTGAGGGGCTGATCACTTTGTGAGCTATAAAATTTCCAGAGGTACTGGGTACTTTCCATACTATTGCTTTATTACATCAGCTTTATGCAAGTATATGAAATTACAGAGTTATTATGATGATACAAAACTGGGACAATGTAGGGTGCATGTAGCAGAAGTGATCGACTTGTTTACAAGAATACTATTTTATATTTCTTATATAAGCAGCAGTCTGGTCTTAGGTAGGGCTATGTTCTGCTAACTGTTCTGGCCACAAATACAGTTGGGAATGGTCTTAAAAGACTTTATTAATTCAATCTAATATTTTAAACACTTTTTCTCCCAGTTTTGCGTGTCTTCAGAGGAAATGTTAATTGTAAAAGTGAAATCTTCAAAATAAGTTTTTCGTTTAAGCCTTATGGTAGTATCAACAAAGTACCATCCTGTAATTTGCAAACTAAGTGCAATTCTCAGCTATGTGTTGCTATTGGAAACAATATCAGTCTTTACCAAAATATCTGATATACTCTTGTAATGTATTATCCCATGTTTATAGATTTAGTTGTACTGTAATACATTTTGAGGGACTCTGGAGCTATGCCATTGTTAACCTGAAAAGTCTCCTTAATATTTGTCTACTTAGACTTTCTTTCTTATCCTTCTGGCTCTGTGCCAATCTGCAGTATGCTGACATGATGTAACATGCTTGTAACTAAGCATAAAATATCCTTTGCTATAACCTACTCTTTTGTGATACCTGACGTAGATATTGGTCACTGTCTTGTTACAAATGCCAAGAACAGGCAGATGCTGCACTGTAGGAGAATGTGCAGGAAATTTTAAATGTAGATGGAAGGCATGGGGAAACATGCGTGTGCATACTGACACCGCTCTCTTCCCTTTGCATAGCTTGCGCTAAGATGAAATTCTGCTGCTTGCTCTTCGTGTACTCAGGCTAACTGCAGCACTAATTAGTCCCTGTTGCCTTTTCACCGCTATTATTTCCCTTTAACTTCAGAACCTGGGTATGTACGACAGTGTTGATCATGGCAGCATTGTGTAAGACCGCTCTGAAGAAATGGCAATGGACATGGGATGGAAAGATCGATACCAGCCTCTTCTAGTGATCCCTTCTGTTGCTATGGCAACTGTTGGTATTAGTGTTGAGGGGCAGCCTGCTGCTCACCTCTGTTTGTCCTTACCCACTCTTGGATCGAAGCACGTCCAAATGTGATTTGTTGTGTATACACAGCTGCTTCAGTGAGATCACACTTCGAGAGCATGACTGACTGCTATAGGCCAAAAAATCCAGAAAAGATCAAAGTTGAATTCTATTTCTGTCTTTCTTAAAGAGCTTTTTTGGAAGGATTCATAACAGTGCAGTAATCTGATTAAATCATCTGTACTATTGTTTGCATTTGTGTTATGATGCTGCCTGTCTGCTCCATAATGAATGCTTCATTGGAAATTCTGATGGTCTGATTTTCTGCATTAAGATTTTAAACTTGTGCTATTTCAAATTGTTTCAATCTGTAATTAGGCATGAGCTATTCACCTGTGTACTGTAAGAAAAACTACATTTCCAAATCAGTAATGTCTCAGGTGTCTGAATATCAAAATCCTTGGTTAGGCTACTGCTTTTTGTATGAAGCTTTCCATCATCGGACACAAAACCTTGTTGGGTGTTGTCTATCCCGCCTGTGCACCACCCTTCCCACCCTGTACCCCTGGAGAAAAAAAGATGTACCTCTGTGGTATATCTTTGGTATGCAGCAGAACTCTTCAAAACTTTCTTCACATTAGCAATAAAGGTCTAAGGAAACTTTATTGTCTGGTAATGTATATAGCTTACAGTGTGAAGGTGATGGGAAATTGCATAACAGTGTGTGGGATTTGACTTGATTTTCAACATGTAATAAATGCAGTATAGATTTCAGACTAATTTTTATGTGGCTGTATTTCCTTTAATATTGTAAGCTTATGTGAGCTGGAAAGTTCTGTAAACAAATAATATAAAGAAGTGTTTTCTTTTGTTTTAGTCTTGTTAAATATATATATCACTCAATAAGGAAGAAGAAAAGGGATTAACACTGGAAAGGAAGGGACTGGCAGGTCAAATTTGAATGAAAATGCATTACAGTAGAATCAAGGGAGCAGGAAGGGTCAAGTTTTAATCATTTTCAGCTGTCTGTAAAGTGGGATCTGAGCTACATGTACAGCACTGACAGCAATATGGAAATGACCTTCAGAAAGGAAAGGCTTTTGACAAGGTTTCATCCCAGGCTGTTAGAGCAAGCAGGCTGCTGCAGGATAAAAGGAAGGGTTTGAAGATGGTTAAATAACTGATTAAAAGATAGGAAATAGGAAGCAGGAATAAATCATCACATTTCATGGCAAAAAAAGAAATTACCAATGAAGTTTGCAAGGATCGGTGCCTAGGTGTGTGCTTCACAGTATACTCATGACCTTTTGGAAAAAGAGCTGCATAGAAATATGTAAAGTTTGCAGAGACTGTTCAGAGTAGTAAAGATCACTGAAGAATTATGAAAGGGCCTTACCTCATCGAGTGGCTGGATGATAAAATGGCAGATGAAATTCAGTTCAGGAAATGTGAAGTAACTAGTATGGGAGAGAACAGGTATTTTGCGTAACTACTGTGGACCACATATATATGGCTATTACTTGGAAGTAAGATCTTGGGTGTTTTATAGATCTTTAAAAGCATCAGATTATTACAGGTTAAAATTTTAATTGAAATGTTGGGAATTACTAGCAGGCAAGTAAAGAAAATGCAGCATTGCTAATCCACAAAAATAATATATATTTATAAATCTGTGGTGTCTGTGCATCTTGAATACTGTGTGTAGTTCTGGTTTCTTTCATCTCGAACCCAATGTAGTAAAACTGGGAAAGATTTTAGGGGAGGGTGACTGGAATGATGAATAGCATGTGACACCTGTGTAAGGATAACTAAATAGACTGAAAGGCAGATGGTTGAGAGGGTATGATAAAAGTCCATAAAATCACAAGTGTCAGAGGGACAGGATGAATAGGGAGTGACTGTTCACTGTCTCTCCTGATACCAGAACTAGAGGTTATTGAATGTAATCTACATGTGATGGCTTGAGGCATACAAAATGAAGTGGTCTCAACAGGCATGAAGGTGAGCAATGGCACTCCTTAACAATCCCTTCTTCCTGCAATAAAAATCTGCACAAAGAAAAAAAATCTCATTAATGTTCAAGTTTACATGACTTGGAAGTAACTGCAAGATGAATCCATCCATTAAAGAGTGCTAAATACAAAAGCAGCATCTCTGACTTAGAAAATCCTTTTGAACCATGAATTGCTGGACACTACAAAGAATACTGGCAGCGAATCCCTGTGCGCTTGTCCAGTCTTTAATTACCTCCCTGGACATGTGCTACTTGCCAGTAAAGGTAGAAAACATAAGTTAAAAATAATAACTTAGTCTCCAAAGTTTTGTGTCTAGAGCTACGAAAGCACATTGCTCTTGCATGTTTCTTTCTGCATGTTTACTTTTGTTATAAGTTGTGTTTTAGGGGATTTCAGAAAACAATCATGTCTCAGGAGAATTTCTTACAGAATCCCAGTATTTTTGGAAACTACCTTGTTGCAAAATACTCCCTGGCAATAAGGCTCTGAAGGCAAGCAGATTTCTGTACAGCAAGGAGTCCACCACTGCTTTGGAAGTTCAAATCATGGTCTGACTGATCTCACAGCTCTGGGTTGTTTCAGTGTCCCAGAGAATGATGCTTATACAGTCACATATTAGCACTGGTAAGCACAAAATAGTTGTGTTTTCAAACACTGCTTCAGTTATTTTTCTTTCTTTGCAGACTGTGTCCATGTAAGAAGCTTTAATATATCTTGATTTTGAAAAAGTTATGGTATGCCTTAAAAATGCCATATTGTCACTCTCGCCATGTAAAAATTTGTTTTATTCCAGGTTTTGTGCTGAAAATACTTTCTTTGTCACTAATTTAATGTATGTAACTAGTATGGAATTACAAAAGTGCTTGAGATGTGGTGTTCTTACTCTACAGAAAGTGAATTATTGAAAGGAATTTATAATACTTTTTAAAGGTTTTGAGCATGATTGAAATGACAATAGACATTTCAAAGACAGTACAAGTCTTGGCCATTTAATGAGAAGCTTGAAATCTGCTTTACTTGAACAAAAATGATGCTAACTTAAAAAAAATAGCCCAAAACGCAAAAAACCCCAAACAAGATACCGACCTGCTACCAAACACTAAAAAGCAAAACCTCTCAGTACTGACCTGGACTTTGCCTGTGGTGTTAACACTAAAATTAGTTTGACCTGTAGTGAAAGCCATTAAGAACTTGTCAGCATTAAAAGGAATGAAGAACATGTATGGGAAGGCTTGGGTAGACTGGACATTTGCTCTAGATCACTTGTCCTTACCTCATACCTTTTCAGTTCATAAAGTTGGGTGGAAAGAAGAAGCCATATGATCTGGATTATGTGCAACACTAAAATGAGTTGAAGACAGTTCTTTGTAATGAATTAAGGTTCCTGAACATTGGGGTTTTTTTCCCAATGGACAGCAGGAAGCATTAGTTCTCTTCATCTGGAATTCCTAAATCTTCCAGCCTGGTACCTCTTGCAGTAGTTGAGACTGAAATTCTGCAGCTTCTTTAAGATGGACTTCAACAGTACTGTCTGACATGGTAAGATACCATGAGGTAGGTATGAATTTGCCATAACTGAAGCAGTGAAAAGTTGATAATTAAAATCAGTATTTGGATACAAGTTCATAATGCTATAGAGCTTCCATTTGACTTCACAGAGGATGT